TGTCCCGCCACTGGAACCACCTCGAAAGGCAGCTTCTCTCCCTCACTGGAGGGCTGAACGAGCTTCCCTGTAAAGGTGCAGGACTCCTCCTTCCTCACTGTGGTGAAACAAGCTTTGGCTGTTTCAGAGGAAGGAGGAAATCACTTTGAAAAAGGTCCAGGCCCTCTCCTCCCTTATTAGGGATGAGAGGAACCTGCCGGAAAAAGTGAAAGGGCTCATCTCTCTCCGAGGGACGAGCACTAGGGTTCCAAACAATGATGTCCCGTAGGTGAAAGGACATCCCCTCTGGTCTCTCCCCAGGGGTTTACACCTACCCACGCGTTTGCCGTGCGTGGCAGCCTCGTGCGCTGTGGAGACGGGAGTCCTGGAGTCTGAGCGATGCCGTGAATGAGTACGCCCTGCGGCTAGCAACACGCCTCTTTGGTCCTCTATTCCAGCAAGACAGGAGACCTGATCCCGGCCCGGTCACGGTCAATCGGCTGGTCTCCCACGGGAGGCTAGGGCCAAGCAGTCATGCCTCCATTGGCACTCACAATGGTCCGTGAGTGCCGCCACAATGGTTATTGGCTGCGTATATCCTCTCATCACCCCTGTGGCTGTCAGACACTGGCTCTGACACACAGCTTCCCCTTGTTGGACTCCGTGGTGGGTGGGGGCGTGAGAGGATGAAGCACTTACCAGTATATGGAGAAATCAAATAAAAAACCCCCACTAGATAATGTTGACGAACCACGCAATGCCCAGACCACGGTAGCCACCTTGGAGCCATACATGGCTCCAGATGGCGGAATAGTCCATCAGAGAGTAAAAGAGATGGACTCTCGTGCTGGTCTCTCCAGACCAGCACCCAAGCCAGGGAAGCCTCTGAGTCCCCCTCAGGTGGCTTCCCTGACAGGGGCGCGAGCACAGGCTGGACCAGCCGAACCAGCAGCTGCTCCCCCCACGAACGAGCCCACCTGCCGACAGGGCTCACAGAAGCGACCAAGGCCGGAGACGGACTCTGACGGAGAGTCCGGACCCAGCCACAGTCGCTTGACCCATTTCAAGGTCCCAGCCAAACCAGAGGGCTTCGACAATGCCTACCAATTGGTGAGAGCATTGGAGAGGCACAGAAAACTCCGGCTCTCAATCCGAGTAGCCCGAGATCAAGGCATGATCATAGTGCCGAAAGATCGTGCCACCCTGAACTTCCTTCGGGAAATCAGGGAACTCGCAGATGGGAGAAAAGTGAGTCTTTCCCCATTGACCCCCGAGGAGAAGAGAAGCAAGATGGTGTTGCTTGGCTTCCCAGTCTCCTATGATGTGGAGCTAATCACTTCACATCCCCAGGTAGTGGAGGCTTCCCGAATGACAGTAGGGAAGACTCCAACCAGGCAAGTCCTGGTTACACTTAAAGGTGCCCCAACCACTACCCTTGACTTGGGTAACTGGGGCA